ATTGTAATTAATTGTGTTTTATTGGTATAATTTTTCATGGAAAAATGTTGAAAATTTGGTATCCATTTGGATTCGTTTTTTATGAAATTTGTTTATTAAAGTGATAATTTTTTCTACCATTGGGTCTAAAATTTGTGCCAATTGTAAAAAAAAAAAATGCAAAAAAAAATTTGAAAAAAATAAATTACCATACCGAATATCATTCGTTTGACTTTGTTTTGCATGGAAGTTGTCAATAAAAGTGACAATTTTTTTACCATTATATCTAGAATTTGTTTCCATTGCAAATAAAAAAAAGGTGGAAAATTTTTTCCCACCAAATAAGTGGGAAAACAAAATCAAGCTTTTGTGTATCAAAGGATTGTATCTAGAAAAAGGTGGAAAACATTTTGTCAGGAAAATTTGTGCTATCAAATACTCTTAATTGGCTAAAGTTAGAAAATGTTTTCCTTTTCCACCCATTTTCTAATTTATCAAACGGACCCTAAGTTAATCTTTCGTTGGAAAATATTTTGCCAGGAAAATTTGTGCTATCAAATACTCTTAATTGGTTAAAGTTAGAAAATATTTTCCTTTTCCACCAATTTTCTTCTCTATCAAACGGACCCTATTTTATTTTATAGACGTATACCTTTTCAACCGTTGATTTTTGAGCCATTGTGTTCGACTTTCTTTATCAATTTAATAACGAAATTCAAGAAGCGATTATGGAGTCTTGGTCTTTGTCTATATTGTTACTTTATTAGGCATATAAGAGTCATTTTTGCTTTTCACATGGATTTTCAATTTAAAATCAGATGGGAAAGAGAGATTAATATGGAACCTTTAGACTAAACTCTCATATTAAGGACTGCCTAATCGACAAAACCGGTCGAGGCCAAAAGTCGCAACCCGTTAAAAATCAAACCTTCTCACGGGTGGTTTCTTTCATATGTCCACATTGGCCTCGGGCCCTCAAATTTCTATCATACCATTTGGTGCCTGTGCCTGTGCCTGTCCTTAATTGAAAATGTCTAACAAAGCGATGACTCGTTCAATTATGTATTTAACTGACTCATCGTCTTTAAATTTTTATAAATATTTTTTTATACACTCTAATTAACTATTTCTTTTACCTTTTATTAATTAATTATTATTTTCACTCATTTTTTTATTACAATAGTTAAAATATTCAGTAAAATCTGAATAATTTAAGTAATGCAACAATAGAGCAGTGTTCTAAAAAACGTAAAACATGATTAGGTGCAGAGGTCAAGCTTCAAATTTTGTGAGTCTAGACAAGATTTAGGCATAAAAATTGTTATTTATTTCTATCATTATTTTAAATACTTAATTATTCTAAAAACCATTTAATAATTTAAATAATAGATACCAAATATCTAAAATTATAAAATGTTATATTGATTTAATAATTCCTATAATTAGACAATCGTACAATTTTCAAGTTTTTGAAATGCAAAAGCTAAACTATTTTTCATAGTTTTAACATTTAACTAGACAAGTTTTACTTAACAGATTAATAGAAATTTCTTTTATACTTTCGAAGTTTCCAACAAAACGATAAATTTCAAAATCATAATTATATAATATAGATAGCAACGTCATTTAAATTTTATCTAAATCTTTATTGGATAAAGTTATTTTTAACTTTTGTTCTAATAAAGACATTTAAGAATTTGAAATTAAAGTCAAATAAAAGTCATTTAAAAAAAAAGAAAAATAAATAAAAAGTTAATAATTTAGAGTCAGATAAGTGTTTAGAGCATCTCTAATAAACTCTTTAAATATAAGATACTTTTTATTTTAAAGAATCAATCCTTAATATTAAGATCCAATAGATTCTCTATTTTTAACTTTTTAAAATAAAGAATGAGTTTCATGCTTCAAATTTGGCAAGTCACTCATTCTAAATTTGTAATTTATAATTATTGAATATAATTTATTTTATTTGGTTGAAAAAATTATATTGTGAATTTGTGATTAAACAGTGAATTAGGTGGAATAATTAATCCCATTAATATAAAAAGTTAAAATTAATCCCATCAATAATGGAATGATTATCCGTGTCATCAACACCGACTAATGACCAAATGAAATCTGTCATCTAACGTTTGAGATTTGGTCATACCACCCAATTAATGACACGTCCTCACAGTAGCGGTGACATTCAATATTACGTCACACCGTTGACGTTAGAGCCGATGCTTCTCACAACAAATTAAAAATTTATTTATATAAACCCACCACTTTCCCAAAAGTCACCTGCATTTACCCAATTATCACCATGCAAAAGGCACTCCAATACAGAGATTGGCTTTCAACCACCGCCACAGGAGGAGGGGCTACCAATCCTCCGCCGGGGAATGGAAGAACGAGTGATGAAGACAAAGACAAGGCGATTGTGAAAAAACAGGTGACGGAAAATGCGGTGGTGGTGTTTGCCAGAAGAGGTTGCTGCATGTGCCACGTGGTCAAGCTTTTACTTCAAGGCCATGGCGTCAACCCCACCCTATTCGACTTGGATGAGCAGAACGAAGCTGCTGTTTTGAATGAATTGTCAAAGATTGCCACCGAAGAAGAAGGATGCTCCGCTGCCGGACCCAATTTTCCGGCGGTGTTTGTCGGCGGAAAATTGCTTGGAGGGCTTGAAGAAATCATGCGTGCTCATATTTCCGGTGAATTGGTGCCTCGTCTAAGAGAAGCTGGAGCCCTTTGGCTCTGATCATTTGAAGAACCAAGAAAATTTTGTATTGAAGTATGCTATAAAATTTCCCCTTTGTCAATATCTTTTTCTGATTTCTCAACAAAATTCAACCCAGAAAATTGGTTGAAGAAGGTGCAGATTATCCAACTTTTTGGCTTCATTTTGTGAATAATTAATCAAAATTAGTTGGGACCAATAATTATACGTGGCCTTGTTGGATTGGTTGGATATGACATCATGCTTATCTTCTAACGTCAAAATTTTGTCATTTAATTAATTAATTTAATCAGTCGATCTAATGACCTATTTAGGTCAACTTAAAAAACACTTTCGTGTATAATGTGGAGAACTGTACAAGCATTTCCTAGAAAAGTGGATCGAAGAAGTCTGGTAATTTCGCCCCATTATAATTTTTGAAATAGTATTTTTATGGAGATTGAGTGGTTGAAAAACAAGAAATTTTTTTTATTTACGTATAATATTATTTTATTGAAAAATATGTTATCGAAAAGAAAAGATAAAAAGATGTATTAAAATTTTAATGATGACAAACGACTTTGCCACTCACGTTTTGAATTTTCGTTTGAGTTCGTGTTGACTAACCAATGAAACTGTAAAAATACACGTATCAATTACACTATACGATGTAGTTTGTTAGACACTTCAAATTGGGCGTCATGTTTGAGAAACATTTTATAAAAGATAGATTTGTAACGTAATTCATTAATTGTTATGTCTACTATGGGTCAGATGTTGAGGCAATCTTGGGCTTGATATGTTAACATGAATTTTCACAAACACACGTTGAGTTATGCATATGACAAGTGGAGATTGATTTAATTTTATTCTTGACACTTTGCACAAGAAAGAGATCCAAGACCGTAAAGTAATGTTTGTTAAAGGATAAAATCTAACATCGAATAAAAATAAAAAAATATAGATCGATTTATAAGGATTTTGATTACTCATCTTAAAATGTTAAACTTTTAAAATAGAACACCGAGTTTTAATATGGCATTGAGTATATTAACTTTTAACGAGCAATTAGATTAGGATTCAAAAAATGAGCAGGCGAATTTCAACATTAGTTTGTTCAAACAAGTCATCATCTTGAGATGGTACGTTAAGGGATTAAATCTCACATCAAATAAAGATAAAAATATAGAATAATGCTAAACGACTCGCTCCGGTGACCGCGGGGATGACCGCACACTCACAGCCTCGGCGCGGGTCCCACCCTTGAATAAAATGATCCGACCCCCTTCTGTGTGTGCGCGATCATCCCCTCGGTCAACTATGCAGGCACTATAGCATGGTTCAAAAATATAAATCAACTTATAACGATTTGAACTAGTCCTCTCAAGAGCGTGGGGAAGGGGAGGCAGCCCATGGCCCCCAAGCCAATTAAATCTTTAATGTAATATATATATATATGTATGTATGTATGTATGAAGGTATACGTAAGAAGTTACTACGATGATATTAAGAATGAATTGCATATCTATATCAAAAT